AAGTTTTCTCTAGTTGCTGAGACAAAATACCAACACCCAAAGTTAGAGGGAAAGGTTTATTTCCCTCACTTTGTGAAAATTTCAGTCAGTCCCTAATTGACTGGCTCCAAGGCAGAGTGGCATGGCAGATGGGCACTGAAGAGGAAAAACAGTTCTTTGTGGGAAGCAGGTAGCCAAGCAAGTAAGGGGGTGGACAAGCCTCTTTCTGTCCCTTTTGTTATATGCAGGCTGTCAGAATTAGGGTGATATCAAAGCAATGAGTGGGCTGATTTAGTAATCACCCACCTTTAATCCTGACAATGTACCATGAGTTAGTTGCATATTCTGGATTCAGCCATTTCTGAAAAAGCACCACCTAGGACTATATGAGACATCAGAGTGACATCTAGACACAAGCTATGCATACATGTATTGTGTTCAGTCCATGCTGTATATAGTAGAACAAGTTACCACATTTAAAATACAAAATGTTATCTCACAGTTTCCATGTATCAAGAATTGCAGTATGAATTAGCTGTCAGCTTAGTATCTTCTGGTTGGAGCTGTGAATTCTTCAAAGACTTTAGTGTCCTTTTCCAAGCTCACTGGTTGTTGGTAGAATGTGGTTATGACTGTAGGACGTCTCCCACTTTCTGGTGTGCTATCACCTTAGTAGCTCCTCTAGCTCCTAGCCACTGCCCCCGGATTCCTGCCATATGGACCTCCTCTTCTTGACTTCACAAAATGGAGCATCTTAGTTTGAAAGGTTGGCAAGAAATCACCTTTTCAGCAACAGTTCAGTCCTTAAGAGCTTTATCTGATTAAGTAAGATCCATCTAGCATAATTTCTGTATTGGTTACATCTGAAAGTTACAATTTTGACATGTGTTTTAACCTAAAGCCGTGAGTGTCTACAGCCGTAAAACCCTCACCATGCCCAATCTTGTCCAAAGTCATGAGAATAAAATCTCTTCATAACCCTGCTCCCCACACAGAGATAGATTACACGGTATAAATACTAGAGATGAGAATTCTGGGGGACATCCTTACATAAGCAGTCTGCCTACCAAATGTATGGAATCTAATCCCCACTCTTCCCCCCCTAAAAAAAAAGTATATACACTTCAGAAAAAAAAAAATTCATGTAAATACTTCAATACTGTCTCAGTTACTCTTCTCTCATTGCTGGGACAAATACCTGATACTCAGTGAAGGAAGGAAAGGTTTATTTAGCTCACAGTTACTGGAGGTTTCAATCCATACCCAGCTGGCTCCAAGGCATACTGGCACATGGCAGAGGGCAGCAGTTCATGGCAGCAGCAAAGAGCATATGGGAGGAGTAGCAGCAACAATGGCAACAACAAGTCTGCCCCCCTTAAGTCGCATTCAGGCTATCCACCCTGGGCTGGGTGTAGTATTCACACCCATAATCCCGGTGGATCATGGGTTAATCACAAATTGTAGAACTGTGCCTCAATGACTGCATGAGGCTTTGGAGTTGGGGTGGAGGGGGACAAATACCATAACAGATACTAAATTTATTGAGACATTGTGAGATTAATACAAGTTATTACTTTTGGCCTCTACAATTACAAGAGATGCTCTGTGGTAATAGCTTCCAGACATTTGTTAGGTCATCAGCAAATGCACTGCTTAGATTCCTTGGTCATTGAGATTGCTGCATATGTATCTTCAGTTTCTTCTCTAAGGGTTGGCAGTATACTAGGTTGTCTGCAATACAGGACACATTCTAGTTGTACCTCATCCCCACATGAGGGTAATACCATCTACTGTAAAAACACCATACTCTTTTCCCTAAGTGTGTATACATACATACCAAAAAAAAAAAAAAAAAAAAAAAAAAATGTGATTTTTTATCTTACAGTGCGGTGGGGTGTCCTGGTATTTAAGGCCCATTTACATTTTTGTCCCAGACTTTCACTGCAGGATTTGGATATAGCTTTCTTCCACTATATTATTTGTCCTCTCTGTATAGACAAATGGAGCATCTGACCATCATGAAATGCTCTATTGTGAAAAGAGAGTATGTTTGACTGTTATTAATGTACAGCCATAGGGGTCAGAGTTGCTAGGTTTTTATTGAGAGGACATCTGATCCCTTGAGATCTGTTTTCCCAGGCAGCTGTTTGTGTAGGGGCTTGTAAGACTGGGTATGATCATTGAAGGCAAAGGGCCTTAGTAAAACTGACGAGAGAAGTTACTGGGCAAATTAAAAGTATAAGAGGATTGCAGAAAGATTATTAAACTTGCATAAAGGACCGGACCATTTCAAGACAGTTGCTATAAAATTGTTAAAAGCATTCCCTAGATTGAGGAGTGAGGAATGTGAAATATACCTCTCTCTATGAAATTCTACTCTTGCGCTTAGGAGCCAGGACTCCTTCCTGTGTGCCAAATTTTTACCTGTGTTACAATATTTAAATAAAATTAAGGCTGTCTGTATATGGAATCGAACCCAGAGCTATATTCATGCAAGGCAGATGCAGATATTCTAGCTCTACTGCCTTCCCAGTCTTATTTTTATTTGGAGACAGGGTCTGATCAGTCTGGTCTCTTTAACTCACAGTTTTTTGCTTCAGCCATATATACATTCATTCATTTGGTACAGGGTCTCACTACACAGCTCAGACTTGTAGTGATCCTCCTGTCTCAGCCTCCTCAGTGCTGGGATTACAGGCATGCAAGGTTCTGGTGCCATTAGGACATGTGGTACTAGGAAGCTATCTCCCCAGCCCTCCTTCAGCCTTTTGAAGCGGTTTAGATTATAGGCACGTGACACCATGCCTGGCTTTTGTTTTTTCTTTTTAGAATAAGCTTAAGGTGAAATCCACATTTTATCTTTCTATCTCCTTTCCTTACACAACTCTTGGCTTATGGGAGGCAATTAGTAAATAAACTCCTTGATTTAGCCATATATGCTACTTCATAATGGCAAATATCAGCACATTCATGTTTGTAATACAAAGACAAGTTTCAGTTTACATTAATGCTTAATTTTTTTGTCTTTTCATTGTTTCCCTCTGTCTCATCTTAATTTCATATAATTTTTTCTTTTTCCAACTTTGCATGCATATATCTGATAATCTGAACAACTAAGTTGAAGACAACAGTATGCAATATAACATACTGTGAAATTCATATTTTGTTTAGTGAAATTCTGTATTTCTAATCTTTTAAATTACTATTTTCTATTCTCTTTAAAAAATAAATAACAAATTTTTGTTAAAAACTAACACATGCTAAAATTCTGCCTTCAGCTGTCTTGCTATGATTCCTAGGGGGATGTTTAAAAGTAATTTTTCTTAACAGTGGGCATAGGTATCTTTACCAGACTTGTGGCTAATCAGACACAGTCATAAAGGGAATTAAGGAAAATAATTACAGCAAAGATACTAATGTAATTAGCATTCAACTAGGCATGATAGCATAGTTTAACACTTGGGAGGCTGAGGTAAGAGGATCACAGGTTTGAGTTCAGCCTGAGCAATCTGGTGGCTCACTGAGACTGCTTCAAAATTTTGGAAAGTGTGGGTAGCTTACTGTGGTGGCCCTGGGTTCAGTCCCTGGTGCCTCTCAATAAGTAGATAGAGTATTACCTTTTTTTCAGTTTTCTCTTCGACTGTCTGGCCATACTGGACATTTTGCAGTTTCCTTAATACACCATACTCTCTTGTCAGTTATCCATCCATAGAGCATAGTGCCTACTATTAATAAAGTACTTACGTTGTATAGTGATTTACTTTTGTTTCCTCTTTTCTGTGTGTGGGGTTGGGTAGCGTATACTTCTTGAAGGTAGGAAGCCATGATTTTCTTTTTGGTTTGGTGCTTGCTATCGCTATCAAATAGACACCTAAAGACTTAATGAAGTAGACAAACTTAAAAACAAGACAGTATTAAATCACATATTTAGTGTAAAAATAAGTCAGTAAACCTCAGTTCTTAAGGAGAATTTCTCTTTAGCAATATAGTGAATAGGTGATTCGCAAGGTTTATTTTATTTTGTGCTAAGGGTAGGACCCAGGGACTCTACCAACCCTTTTAGTTTTTTGAGGTAAGCTCTTTAAATTGCCTGGGCTGGCCCTGAATTTGTAGTCATCCTACTTCAGCTTCCAAGCAGCTGGAATTACAGGCATGTGTCACTAGACCCAGCTATGTGCAAAGTTTTTAAAATATTAAGTATATGTTTATCCATGAGCTTAAAGGGGGATTAATCCACAATCAAGTGAAACATTTAAAGATGCAGTCAATTACTTTTGAGCTTATGATCTTATTTTTTAGGTCATTAGGTTTATACTGAGTAAAGATACCTATCGTTAAGCATGGGAGGTGGGCTGGAATGGATGGGTATGTATGTATGTATGTATGTATGTATGTATGTATGTATGTATATGAGGAATTGAACTCAGTACCTTGTGCTTGCCAGGCAGGGGCTATGTCACTGAGCTGTATCGCTGGCGCTGTGTGTGTGTGTGTGTGTTTCGGATATTGCTGTATGCCATATGATATGCAGTCATATGTATGTTATACAAATTGTTCCCAAAATATTGTATTTCTCATCTTTCTTTGCATGGCCATTTGGAAGGTTAACTAAAAGTAGAATGAGTAACAAATAATTTTATTCAGGCAAACACTTACCCTCCTGTCCTTAAAATGTGTGATTTCTTTTAACTCAGGTTTTCTTGATATAAAGTCTCACTTTTAGGATTTCAGAATTAACACCAATTGAAAAAGTACCAGTAGATATTTGGGAAAAAGAAGGAATTGATATTCTTGAGCTGTACTTTTGCCTCAAAAAGTTTTTGTAAGAGAGTCATTGCCAACAGCAACAACATTTGCCATCCTTTTGTTTTGATACTTACAGTTAATTTTTAAATTCTTTCCAGTCTCTGATACCAGAATCACCAAAAACTAGAATATCCAGACTGTCCTTCATAGGCATGATTCTCCATATTGGTGTGGCTAGCCATGAACTATCCTTTTCTTCTCCCTCTTTTTCCCAGATATCTCCCGGGGCCAATTCAACAACTCTACCTGGCCATCCTAACAAGGTGATTTGTGAAAGGGTGAGACTTCAGAGCCTGTTCCCTCTCCTCCCAAGTGATCAGAATACTACCGTTCAAGAGGATGCTCACTTCAAAGCTTTCTTCCAGGTTCTTATATATTTACCCTTTCCCTACACAGGGCTAAACGTCACAGATGCATTCTAGTTTGTTTCTAGGAAGGCTTGAAACAATTCTTGGTATCTTCTTGTTTTCTACTGTACATTAGAATAAGTATTCTTCTTAGAGGACATCTTCAATATAACTTTCAGCCAGCTTTTCTGAAGAATGTTTGTCTTCTCTTGAGCTATTGTTAATTATTTGACTACTTAATATTCTTATTTTTTTTATCTTAATCACTTGTCTTAATAAGCTAAGTCTGTTAGGAGGGTAGAAGATAAAGATATATCAAATATATGTAAGATATCACTACTTGGTTAGTGCCCAAAGTTTTCATTTCATGAGAGAAAATACGATTATTTGCCTTTTGTGTCTTTTGGTACCTATAGGGAAAAATGTAAGTTTTTTTTAAAAAAAACTGTAAAATGTAAACAAGAAAAGATATACACAGATTAAACCTGTTATTAGGAAGATTATTACTGTTTCTTCACATGAATCATTGGCTATTACACTTTCAATCCATACTTCTAGAGAAACATCTTTTTAGTAAAAGAAGTCAGTATTATTACCACAAAAGAAACCAAAATATAGAATTGCTTCTGGAAGGAAATTTTGTGGGCTAAAGCATGTTATTTGTGCATATGTAAACCTGAGATAGTAAGACAGTTGATAACCAAATCTGAGACTTCTGGATAGAGGCAGTTTATTATTTTGTATTGGATGGCAGGTTGGGGCAAGGAATTAATTTGAAAGAGAAATGCCAACAACATATTACATTGAGGATGTGGAATTTCTGGGGATAGCTGTATAGGCAGTCCATGGCCCTTTAATCTAATATTCCTTGCTGAAATTTGTACTGGGTTCTCTGCTTTTCATATAATAAGTCTTTTTGCTTTTAACTCACAGTAAACTGCCCATTGAGTTTCTAGATGAGGAAATAGGTTTTAAAAAGCTGAGATGTACAACTTGTGTCTAGTTACTAGAGGAGCAGACTCAAATCTATCTTTTTTTTATTTTTATTTTTTTCCATAATTTTATTGATAAATAGCAATGAGACAGTTTCATATCAAATTGGTAGGACAGTTTCAATAATTAACACATTGCATACATTCCTCTCAGTGGTTAATTGCTGTACAAGATGCGGACATGATATCCTATCTACAAACACCATTAGAGCAAATCCCTCTATTCATTAAGAGAATGTAACTATATATCTATCCTAACCACTTTGAATACACAGATACAAAATGGACATCCATCTGTATATCAAATCTAGCTTTTACTGTTATCTTCTCTCTTATACTACATTCAGATATCAGCAGATATTTATATAAACAGTATAGTGTGTTGAGAAAATTATCTGTAGTTTTAAATTTTTTAATCATTTGTTTATTTACTTATTTATTTTGGTACATGGTATTACTACACAGCTTGGACTCCGTAGTGATCCTCCTGTCTCTGCCTTGCCAGCACTGGGATTACAGGTGTGTGCCACCATGCCCAATTTTGGTGGCCAGCATGGCATGCAGTAACGGGCTAAAACCCAGGTCCTTGTGCTTACTAGGCAGATGATTAGACCACCAAGATATTCCCCAGCCCAGTTATCTGTATTGAATTGAATGGTATATTGACTACCATTTTGATTACAGCGTCATGTACAGTTGTTAGATATTTAGTAGATGGACTGTAGCTAAGGAATAAATTACGATCCTTATTGCTGCCACCAGTAAGGGCATTTTTTTTTTTAATCCCCCCCCCCCCGTAAGGGCATTTTACATTTTCTGTATTCTCCATATTTTCTTCCTTTCAGCATTGATTCAGTATAAACTTTAAACAATAGCTGTCAGTGAAACTCAACAGATTTAAACGCATGTTTTGAAAATAAAACAATAAAGTTACAGCCATCTGCATTGGGATGTTTTGTTTACTTGTTGGTTTGGTTTTACATTTTTTGGTGCTGCAGCTGAACCCAGGTTTTACATCCTTAGCCCTGGGTTCCTGCTGAGAAGTGAAAAGTATGTAGTGCTAATTTAATAAGTCATTCTTTTTTAAATTGAGAAAATGGCCTAGAGATAGTTTCCTCCTAAGGATGACTGTAGAAATTTTCTTTGCTTAATTACTGCCCTACCACTCCTGCATAAAATAAATGTTTCTCACAGTCCTTTGAAATAGTAGTAGCTCAACTAGTTCTGATACCAAAGTTGTTAGTTTTATCTCTGCTTTTCATCCTTTAAAACCTTGGTTACCTTGAAAGGGATAACCTACCCAGCCATCTCTTGTGCCCACAGTTACTTCTTTCATGCTCTATGCTTTCTTATTCTTGGCTTTCTTCTATGGACCTTCTTCTCAACTTGGGTCTTTTTCCTTACCTTTGGAATAAGCCTTGTTGAACATCCACCTGCCTCTTTCATTCCCCCCCCCCTTAAAGTGTCATCTTTATTTTTTTATCTAACAGTTCCTCATTCTTCTGAGAATATCACTTCCTCTTTAGTCTGCACTGTAGGTATAAAAATTACTGGCTTTTTTTTTTTTCTCTCCCTGCTACAATCAACAGTTTAGATGTATGGCTTGAGATTGTAGAGGAGAAAGGCTTGATCTTTGCCTGGGTCCTTACTGTTTCTAGCCACCATTGTTCTTACTGAACAAAAAGCTCATTCTATTTTGAGCTCCTTTTTGCTTTTCCTAAATTTTTTACTATCTTTGGCTGTTAAAGTTTTTAAAATTTTGCTTCTGCTTTGTTTGCTTTTTTTTTTTAATATTGTAGTAACCCTAGACTTGTAGTTGTTTTAAATTTTGTATGCTTTATTTCCTAGAATTATGAAATATTTTAAATATGCAAGTTACAAAATATGAAACAAATGCAGCAGTTTAAGAAACTATTAAAAGCTAGCAGTGTTTTTGAAGTCTACTTATGTCATTGTACTTTATATCCACTTGCTGTCTCTTCCTGTGCCTCAGGTAAAGCCTGTGTTTTGTTTAGTATCTCAGTGTATAGCTTTACCACATACAATATCAATCTATTACTATAGTGTTTGATTTTGCTGACTCTAAACTTAACAAATTACAACGTAGTTTGTGTACTTTTCGAGATCCACCCATATTATTGCATGTGGCTGTATAGTTGGGTTTTTTTTTTATTGCTATTCATTAAATACACTAGTTTTTTATTAACACTTTCTTGATGTATTTTTAGTTGATATTTTAATGATTCTGTAGAAGTGATGGCTTTGTATATTAAATGCTTTCAAAAGTGTAAGTACATGTGCAGCTCTGTGAAGAATATTTAAAATTAGAATCGTAACTGCTTGCTATAATGTTTGGTTTTCTTGAGAAAAGGTCTTTTTTCGGGGGGCAGAACTGGGGGTTGAATTCAGGCCCTTGCACTTGCCAGACAAGTGCTTATTCTACTGAGCTATCTCCCTGGCCTCTGAGAAAAGGTCTTGTTATGTAGTTTAGGCTGGCCTTGGTAGCCCAGGCTGGCCTGGAACTCTTTGAACTCCTTGTGATCCTCCTGCCTCAGCCTCCCATGTGCTGGGATTAAGAATATGCATTACCACACCTAGCTAATTATTAAATTAAGACTTAAGTAACATAGAATAAAACTTGCCCTCTTGTGAGCTTTGACAAACACTTACAGGTATGGAGCCAACTAGTAATTGTGGTTAAACATAATATACTTCCATAAGGTAATAACTACATTGTGGGGAACTTTGAATTTCATGTCTGGGTCTGTTGCTGATGTCAGAGATGTTTGTGGTATCTTAATAGTAGCTGACATGGTGGCTTATATTTGTAAATTTGCTAAAGTTAATTAACAGTTTTGAAGGTTTATGTACATAGAGAAAAACACATGGTTCCTCAAAGACTGTAAAATGAAAATGTATAGGTTTAATATTCTTGCCAAAAGTAGCAGCAAAGTTTAAAAAAAATATTTTTAAATGTATCAGTTATTTAATTAGGTTCTTAGTAAGAAATTTAAAACACTAATTTATGAGAATAAATTCCATTTGTCAGCAAAAATGGATCACAGATAGCCCTAGAGATGAGGAACAGTTTTGATTTTTACTAAAATCTGTGAGTCCACTGCGTTCTGATCCACCTTACACTGCTTTGAAATCTGATATCTCTTTCTCTATGTTGAAAATCTCACCCTGCTGGTGTCTGTGTTTCTGCAATTTCTTCTTGAAGTAAGCATCGGTGATATGTTTGGGGATTTTTACTTTGCTGATACAAATTTTCACAGAGGTGGCAATGATAAATTTCTGGTGTGTTCTTCTTAGAGGAACACAATTAAGGCTGAGAGGCCTGGTCACAAGTAGCAAGCCATTGGCCAACTGCTTCTGGAAGACCACTCTCTTGCTTCTGTGATGCCAAGTGAGGACGATCAAGATGGTGCTGGGAGTGATGCTAGCTCGAAGTTTCCTCACATGCTGACTGAAGGGTTTAACAGCTTTCAAGGCATATCTTAAGTGGGGTAGTATCTAGACATTTTTCAAAGCTTAACCTCCCGGGTACCATCATTATTTTCACCACCGACTGGTTTTGTGATCGTAGCAAGAACTTTTTCCTTTTTCGTCTCAGCCTTTGATTTTCAGCTATGTACTTTCTCTTGTACAAAGCATTTCTGGAATACATACCAGATCGAGAGTATCTACCAATTCCTCTAACCAGGATAGGCTTTTGGCTGCAGTGGGGCTGCCCCTTCTTGGACTTTTTTGCCTTCACCTTACCCTTTTTACCAGTAACACTGGCAGTAGCCTTCTTGGCTTTGGATTTCTTCTCTTTAGTGTCTTGCTTCTCAGGTTTTTTGCCCACCGTCTTGCAAGATGGAAAGAGTGAAGTTTTTTAAATTTAGTTTTTGTTTTTGAGACAGCATCTTGCTATGAAGTTCAAGCTGGCCTTGAGTTTACTCTGTAGCCCAAGCTGGGCTTGAATATGCTGAGATATTTTTGCCTCAGCCTCCTGAGTGCTGGGATGATAGGCATGTGCCA